TTTCATATCGCAAGATGATAAAGCTCGAGTCCCTACTGGCGTAACTGCGGCAAATAAGCAAGCACCTCTTCTAATGCACATGGAATATAGAATCAAATTGCCTGATCACGATTGGGTAATCGTCGAGCGTCATAAATTAATACCATCTGTTTATGCTGGTATCAAAATCACTTCCAATATGCTTGGACAACCGCAAGCCGTTGGATATTCTGGACCAACATACATCGCTATTCGAAGTGGAAAGCATAGTTCATCTACTAATACTCATACTCAGGATTTCGAGACGCTTCTCGAACTTGAAGAGTTTCGACCATTAGCTAAAACTGACCATGGACTAATAAAACCAGTGGTAATCATGACGGTTGATGGAGGGCCAGATGAAAATCCACGTTATCAAAAAGTCATAGGGTTTGCTATACAACACTTTAAGCGACATGATCACGATGCATTGTTTTTAGCTACCAATGCTCCTGGAAGAAGTGCATATAACAGAGTAGAGCGCAGAATGGCTGCTCTTAGTCGGGAACTGGCTGGTTTAATATTGCCTCATGACCACTTTGGGTCTCATTTGGATGAACGTGGCGTTACAATTGATGAACATTTAGAAAGATCTAATTTCGAATTTGCAGGAAATGTATTAGCTGAAGTATGGCTATAATGTTAATGCAAAATATGTTGGGACAGGTGAACAATTTTCCAGACATTAAATGGTATTCAGAACATTTGCGTGAGAGCCAGTACTTGCTTCAAATTGTAAAATGTAGAAATACAGAATGCTGTCGTCCAAGAAGTGGCCTATTTAGATTACTAGACAATAGGTTTCTTCCAACACCTGTAAAAGTAAAACAAACAGCTGATGACGTGGTTTTGGATGAAGGAGGGCAATTTATTAATCTTCCAGTCAATCTAGCTCTACGCTTAAGTGCTTCACTCAAAGATTTCCTGCAAATGCCCTACGATTATGTTTGTCCGACTGTAAAATTGAGGCTATCAAGTCGAACATGCAAAACGTGTGGTCTTGATCATGCTTCCGTCAAGTCACTAAATCGTCACATCACAACATATTCATAAAAAAGTAAACACGCTCACTGATAGGAAAGTTAGACCTGTAAGAGTCGCTGCTCGTCTTGCTAATAAACTGATGTGCATCATTCAAAATTTAGAGCACCATGATGTTGAATGGCTCGATGAGAACGACGTAGACATTCCAAAATCCGATGAAAGCGAGCAAACTCACAACACTGAGCAGCAATCGAAGCAATCCAATGTCATCGAAAACTTAGAATCGTGGATTCGGGTTTCATGGACTGAAGACTGTTAATTTGTACCAAAAATTTAAAATAAGTTTGTTATGTTAGTTAGATATACTATTTGTGTCCTTTACTCTATGTTTAATACCGTATCAGTTAAATATAATCTCTATCCTAAATATATTTTCTTATTTTTCAAATTATAATTATAACGTTATAATCATAATATTAAAAAAAAACAATACATTAATTGACAAATGTTTACGTAAGCATGGGGGAGGAGGTAAGAGCTTTGCTTACTTTTGCTGGCAGACGAATTTATTATGATTATTTATTGTCGTTACTTCTTCTCAATAATCTAATTACAGCTTCGTCGTGTACGTCAATCGTACGCCCATTTACCATATACGCCTTTCTGTCACCCCTTGTAGCGATAAAAAAGACAGGAAACAGGATTGCGTCAGGTGTACGGAAGTGTATCACTCAATTGTCACACATACAGTTGTTGGAGGTGAGCTCAAATGCGGGTAACATCTCGTACGAAAGGGAAATGCACGATGTAACGGCTCTTTAAAGTGAAGGGGACGTGGGGTATAAATAACTACGGAAAAGCAGATAAAGCGATACAGTGGGACCGATTTCATTACATATTTTTATCGAAGGAAAATGTACGGTTACATGGAGATAGAGAGGAAGATTATGTTGATTGTCCGAGAGGTGATAACACTGACAGCTCCGACTGCAAATAGTTCACCATAGCTTAGGCCCATATTCTGAAAATGCAGAAGGCCTGCACTGAATGACAGTGACATAGGATGCGGTGGGTCATGATTACAGACATGAAAGGCAAACATATTCAGTTTAGGCTGTCTATTTATGCAATTTTGCATAGCACACCATTGCTGGTAGCATTGAGAACACCTCGGCATGGGTATCATATAAAAAACCCATAAAACGTCAAAAAAAAACCTATAAGATGTCAACTTGCAGACTAGGTAGTTTTTAGGGCGCAAACAGTCATTCCACGTTTGCTCACTAGGATCGTTGTGAACGTCCATCTGCGGAGGAATCACTCAACTAAAGTACGCATTATCGGTTGCATAGTTTTGTGAGGCCGAGTGATCGAGGTTTGTAGTTTTTGTCTCGGAGAAGAAAGTTGGTTGAATAGCAAGATCGCATCTGGATGATTATGTGTGTTGGTCTGCCTGTGTATAAAATCAATGATATATGCCGAATATGAAGGGGTTATTGATATGCTGTGAACATTCTACGGACAGAGAGGTATACAGACATACTTTTTTGAATACTTTAGGATACAGCAACGATTCTGTAATAACACTATTAGTGACAGTAATTAAAAAAGGTCCTTGTGGAGATCAGGTAAAGGAACGTAGTGTCAGTGAGTCACTATCGAAGGAAAATGCCCCTAATGTTAACAAAAACATCCATCCGTTTGCAAAATCGAAGTATACTGTCGAGTTTTGAAGAAAATGAAATCTCCACTTTTCCATCTGTGAAGAGTGCAAAATGTTACAGAACACGTTGGAAAATAAAGAAGGCGATAAAATTCAATATCACCTAAATTTCCACCGTGCCAAAGCAGAAAAGGCAAATCTAGAATATGAAAGAGACTCTACCGAAATAGCAAGATTCACTAAGGATTTACAAAAAGTGATTATTTTGCCTATTATGCCCGGAAGTAAAAAAGCAATTTTCACGAGCCGACTTGTTGAATTCTACTTTAGGTAAAGAATCTAAAAATAATAACTTCTGTGTACTCTGGCACGATGCATTAGGTCGACGTAAAGCTGTGGCTATTGTTGACGTTTTATCGGAAGTAATAAGAAAAGAAAGCCATGTATCTCATTTTGTATTTTGGGCGGATAACTGTATATCCCAGAATAAAAATTGGATTCTATATACTTCCTTGATTACTGAGGTCAATCGTTCTGCGGGACCACATGCACATGTCTGCTGATGGAACTCATGGAAATATTGAGCCAAAAATACTAAGGAATAGGAATATCTATGATTTCCAGGAACTGACTGAACTTGTAAAAAATTCTAGAAGAAAAGTAGAGGTGCTTGAATTGAAAGAATTTCACTTGTGGCAAAATAAAAAAAGGACTTCAAAGAAACGACGTTTTTCTGTTACAATGTCTGGTAGAAGTTGGTTTTACACGAGGAAGCAATTATGTGAAATATTAAACAGATTTTGAAGAAGAGTATAATTAATTGGATTTTTTACAAAAAAAAACTGTCCAAGTACGTTTGCGCCCAAAACTTTAAATGTTCGCGGAATCTCAAGCGAAAAAAAGCACTTATTTTAAAAACTCTAGTGCGATTAATGCCGGAAAACCGAAAGCTGTTTTGGCAAACAATACTAGACTCAGAAACGTCTTTAGATTTGGTCCACGATGAGCAAAAAAAAAACAGGTAAATGAAACTAAATTTCGTGCATTCACAATTGCAAAAAAACGTTTCAGGTTTCAACAGACAACAAAACTAACTGTCAACTAATTGACGTTTAACCTTATTCTGCTTTCAATTTCAAAAATATTTGCAGGCACAGCCTACTTCTAAAATTATCGAGATACTGACTTTTTAACGTTATTTTATCATAAATAATTAAAAATGCATCGAACCTTAAAAATCGAAATATCTCAAAAACGGCTAATTATAACGAAAATTCACAAGGGAGCTTTTTTATGTTGAAAAGTGCGAAGAATCAGGTTTTTTATTCAAAAAGCAAAAAATTGCACTAAGAAAAAATTTTCGGTCATTTTAATACACTACAGGTACAGTACAGAGCGCCCTCTAGCGGCTACAGTAAAACTATGCCCATGCTTCGTTTTGTCGTACCAAAAAACCCTTGTATACCAATTTTCACTGTTATACATCAAACATTGTTCGAAATATTTAAAAAAAACTATTTCAGAAAGTAAATTTAAACGGAAGCCACGCATTTTTCGACCCATTTTTATATAGACTTTATGCATTAATTTTAAAAGTTCTATCGAATCTTAAAGATATGCAACAATAAACTGAAACACTCTGTATAACAGTAGGTACTTTTTATTTTACATTTTATTAAATTAAAGATGCGTTTATCGTATATTTCAAATTTATGTTTTACAAAACACGGTGGCAGCACTTATTGTTCTGGTAAACGGAGTAACTTTTAGGTATGTACTCAACACAAAACGCAGCAAAAGCAGTTACTGTGTTTTGTAATGAAATAATTTGTCTTATTAATTTTTTAAGCCTATGAAAAATTATTTTTTTGGCTGCCTATAAAGAAAATCGTGTATAGAGGTTATCTAACACGCCGTGAAGTTTTTGTTCGATTTTCTTTAATAATTTCTTGCGGCTTATACATTTTTGAAAAATTGATTTTTCTCCATTGATGTAAACATGCAATTACTGTGTTTTGTCGACTTCTCAGGACGGACGGAAATGAGTGACGATGCCCATACACAAAACATGATATCTCATTTTCGAAAATTTTCGCGATTACAATGCTAGTAGCCGTAAGAAGTAAAAATGAGTTTAGAATGAAATACTGACATCGAATTCGGAGTCTTCTCACCCAATTCACCCTATCTAGTAGATCTATCTATCAAACTTAGAAATATTATAGGACTCTGTAGAGGATGACTTCCATATTTTCGTAATTCTAACAAAAATTAAATAATGTGCCGTCGAGCCGAATAGTATGCCAGGTATTTAGTATTTCTTTTCGAAACTTACCTGCAACCGATAGGCTTAGTCCGCTCCCTTGACTGCTCATTCTTCTTTCCAGTCTGCTGCGTTCATTTCGAAGAGTCCTCTCGGCACGAATAGAGACGCGGTCACAAGTAAGCGAACCTACAAAAAGGGCTTTAGAAGAAGCACGTTCTTTCTTTTTGGGGTACTGACAAGTGTATGTCTGTGCTCGGTGGTTCTTGGGAAATTACGGTAGGCGTATTGTGAAGGTCAAATAAAGAGGAGACTTTTATATTTATTCCGACTAGGTTTAACGATTGATCGATATATTATACAAAATCTGGACGCAAGCACTGATAATACCTATAGTAAAAACTTTGAAACCCAGGTCAAAAAGTTTATTTGACCCATGGTCCAAAAGTCAATAGATTTTTATCTAAATGGCTTTATAGTTTACAACTTTAATTTTTATAATCTAATCTAAAACGTTTTTAAATTGGGTAACTAACAAATAAATGGTATTAAGTTTTTCTAAGTTAAACATTTGTAGTCAGTAAGTGAGTTTCATTAAGTTAAATATCTAAAACACACATGACAACAGCGCGTCGGTTTTTCATCACTCTTATCGAACCGACAATCGATCGCAAACGGTAACAGTGGTTAGTATATTGGTTTGTTTTTGTTCGCGTACGTCGTCGTGTTTATTTACAATGTTCTCGAATCAAGAGTTCGCCGACATGTTGTTAGATTACGGTTAAGCTCGTCAGAATTCAAATCTTGCAGCTCAAATTTCGCCAACGGGTACAAACAGACAGAAGAACATTTGGGCCCAAGAAAATCCGCATACCATTAGTAAAGGTCATTTCCAATAACGATTTAAAATAAATATTTGGACGGGTGTTCTTGACGATCAGGTAATCGGCCCTTTCGAGTTACCCCCAAACTTGTCAGGAGAAGGATACCTTAGCTTTTTAGCCAATAACCTACCAGAACATTTGGAACAGACCTTAGACAACATGCCATTACAACGGAGACAGAATTTGTGGTTTCTTCATGACGGGGCACCACCACACATTTTTAGAGGCGTCATTCAGTATTTGAATGAACATTATCCAAATCGCTGGATCGGTCGAAATGCTCCTGATCCTCGGAAATGGCCAGCACAATCTCCTGACCTCAACCCGATGGATTTCTGGTATTGGGAAGAACCTAAAGGGATGGTTTATGGGGCTGGTCCAGTAAGAACTGAAGCACAACCTCGCGAAAAGAAATGCGGCTGAAATAATAAATGGACAACTTCGTCGTAATGAAGCCTGTGAGGAAAGTGGAGGATGACATTTTGAACACCTTCTTTAAATACAATTAAGTGCAGTGTTTCAAAATATATGACATACAGAAAGGCACTGTTCCAGTTTTGCAAGAAGATATTGATAATCTACGCAAATATTCAGCATAGATCCGGAAAAAATCTTGTTTTGTTCTGAGAGCAGCAGAAACATCGTTGTTTCGTGCTTGGATGTGAACATCGACACTCTGCAGCTCCAGCTCACCAATAGTGTTAAAAACCAGTACACGTTTTCTTTATTCAAACAGATATTTGCTAAATTTCAAAATGAAGAAAAAATACCTTGGTTGTGTATGTCTTGAACTACTGCAGTATTCTATATTTCCCTCTTTGGAGCAGGTCACTAGATAATAAATATGCAGAGTTGAGATGGAGGTGGAGTTTGATCAGCTGGTGAAGTTACATTTTTCGACATTTATCCATAGAATTTCAACTAAGCCAGAGACCGATGTAAAAAAATGATTATTAATAACACTATACACGATAGAAGTACTATTAGGGATAGACACGTTATCAGAATTCCAAGGCAGACAACATGTTTGTTCCAGCTAAGTTTCTCATATAATGTCGCAGTAACATATAATTCTTTGCACAGTAAATTTAAAACCCTTAGCTATAATGTTGAGTTTTTCGAACGATTAACTTTTTTACTTAATATTTTATACACATCTGTCTAGAGTAGCAGTCTAGCAGTATGTGCACACAAAACTTTTAATTTCTCACTATTCATATATGGGTTATAAGTGATTCGTCATATTTATTTTTTGTGCTAAGTGTTAGCTATACAAGGTGTCCGCAAAGTTGGGGTTTTCCTTTTCAGAAACAACTACCCTTGAAATAACAAAGGTACTGCGTAGGGAAACGGGGGCGACCAAGTAAAAAAAAATAAAGGAAAAAGTACTCACTCTCCAGTTGACGAGAAGGGCTAAGTACGTCTCTGCCCGAAATCAAACCGCTCCAACAGAAAATGAAATCAGCTGATGCGCTACCGAGCAGACGCAGGCGGTGGTGCAGACCACGAACAGAGGTAACAAATATGACGGCGTTGCCGCGTTTTCAGTTTCAAGTTAAACGTACTTTATAGGTATTGTTCGAAGTTATCGCCGTTTGATTGAAAAACACAGGTGCGTGCACGCCGTAGCCAAGCATCGGTGCAGGCTTTGAGAATGGCGTTCCTCCCCCGAATGAAAGCACCAGCTTGTTCAATTCTGAGACGAAGTTCATCAACCGCATGCACTTTAGTTTTGTACACTAAGCGTTCCATTTCTCCCCAAAGAAAAAAATCACATGGTGTTAAGTCTGGAGATCGCGGATGCCACGCTACGGGTCCATTACGTCCGATCCACCTATACGGAAATAATTCATTCAAAAACTCACGCACTTCGCGTCTAAAATGGGGCGGTGCACCATCGTGCAGAAACCACATTGATTGTCTTACACTTAATGGCACATCTTCTAACAAGGAAGGCAAAATGTTGCGTAAAAAGTCTAGGTATTGCATCCCGTCCAATCGATTTGGGAGAATAAATGGTCCAATGAGCAGACCGTTCACGATGCCAGCCCAAACATTCACCGAAAATGTTTGTTGAAAATGTGCCCGACGGACAGCGTGCGGATTTTCTACTGACCAATCATGAGTGTTGCGAAAGTTTACGCGTGAACGTAGATTCGTCTGACACTAATATGCACTTCAAAAAGTCCGGATTATTGTCATGTTGATGCAACAACCACTCGCAAAACCGCACTCTTGCTGGAAAATCGTCAGGTTGAAGGGCTTGTACACGTTGGACGTGAAACGGATACAGCCCCTGTTCACGCAGCGTTTGCCACACTTTAGTTTTTGATACTTGCACTTCTCTAGCCACGTCTCTAGTGCTTGTTGAGGGATTTTCGTCTACGCGATTACCTCTACACGCGTGACCGTAACCGTCGGTTGAAGGTTGAATACTGACCTGACACACTGACCCCGATCCAGTTCTGTCGTCGGATTGAGCCAGTGACCTTGTACCACTCGGTGATGTCGCGGGTCGCGGCTACAGGACGGTATTCAGATATTTTTGATGTTTTAGAGCCCTTTATCTCGGTTCCCTTAAGACATTGGTGTATATATGGTACTAAGAAAAATTGCTTATGTTTTCAAGATCTACACGTCGTGTAAAGGAAAACCTCAACTTTGCGCACACCCTGTATATTCAACTTTAGTAGTCAAGTGTGAGAGTAACATTTTGCCAAACGTAGCTTCTACAATTACGCTTTATATACAAACAAGTTGTATCTTTAGATTCTTAATTGAAACAAGTAGAATAATTGAAAAAAGTCAGTGGCGCGCAAATTTTTTGTCACAGATAATGGTTAGGGTGTTTTTCGGGACCCCACTGGATTTGATAATTTCGATTTAATTGGGACTCAATTAGCACCTTACTACCCTTTATATCACTGCGACGTACGAACAAAACCGATTGAAAGTTTATTAAGTTATTTAGGAAAAGTCGAAGTATGAAAATGAATCATTTCTACACCTACGTTTAAATCAAATTTCCATCTTAAAATTACTCAAAGATTCAGCTTCTGAAGTTTGGCCACGTACTTAAATATCACCCTGTATACATGTATTACTGCTACCTACTTGGTAAGACAGCTGTGACGAAGGAAATTGTATGAACGTGTAAATACAGGATACGGTTAGACATCTGTTTGGATGATAGCTTAATTAATAGTTTGACATACAGAACTGTCACATAAAGCCGCAGACGTACGATTAGCGTTGATTTAATACAGATTGTCAGATTGGGCCCCCGTTTTGCACAAAACATTGTAATGGTTATCTACTGTAGACTTTCTACATAAATTTACATTACGAGGGTAAACATCGCCCAGCATTTTGGGGTCTTTCGGCTAGTGTGTGCCATTTTGCCTTCCTTCCATTTATTCTCGCAAATCGATTGGACGGGATGAAATACCTAGACTTTTTACGCAACGTTTTGCCTTCCTTGTTTGCCTGCGTCTGCTCGGTAGCGCATCAGCTGATTTCATTTTCTGTCGGAGCGGTACGATTTCGGGCAGAGACGTACTCAGCCCTTCTCGTCAACTGGAGAGCGAGTACTTTTTCCTTTATTTTTTTTTTACTTGGTCGCCCTCGTTTCACTACACATTACCTTTGTTATTTCAAGGGTAGTTTCTGAAAAGGAAAACCCCAACTTTGCAGACGCCATGTTTCAATAATAGACTGTATAAGACTTTTTATTGACAGATCTGTGAATGATTATGGCTACTATATTTAAATTTTGTGTCAGTTCCCATCATTTGATATAATTATCCCACATTTTCTGCAGGATGACACACATAATATAAGCGCGCAAGAAATACCTATAGTTTTTTGCAAAACAGTAATTAACGTAACGATATAATATATAACTTGTACAGGAAACGTCGAAATTCCGGTCACCATTATAATAATTAAGTTCGTATAATTACATTCTAGTAATTATAGGTCTTTTGATGGGATATTGTAGATTGTGCGTTCGGTTTGCGATCGAGCGTAACGTTGCTATGACTCACAAAATCTAAAAAAATAATTATGGATTACAGTTAACAGAGTTCTTCATTTGTTAGGTTATGAGAAAGAGGTGTATTTTTTTCCGCGGTAGACTACGAATCCGTATCCGTAACACATCAATCTTTTTGGCGTAACAATTTTTGAAACGTTGCTAAACATGATATTAAAATGACCAGAGAGACTGAACGGATCAAGTCAGTCAAAGCGGTTCATATGAACATATTTTCCCTGTTCTACCGATAGTACCGCCCATCTGGCGACGTCGCCCCTTCCCACATACCTCGGCTGGGCACATTCTAATGCAAATTGTCAATCGATGGTTGCGTGCAATATTGCTCTGCGTTCTCAAGCATCTCGTTGCATTTTGAGCCATAATTCTGAATAATAAAGCCAAGGTTCTCTTGTGTGCTCCCTGACATTCAACGGCGAATTTATATCATCGATGCTTGTACCACTTTTCGCCTTCAACGTTCAAAAGCAATAATAATCTTGAATGTGTTGCAATAGCGAATATATGGATACGATCTTCTGCCGATATCTCACGTCTCTGCACCTTTTCAGCTCTCTCGGTACCTTGCGAGTAGATTTATCGGATTGCAGTCTCGCTTTTCACAGATATTACGAGCGTTCGGCGACGATGTTCGGTAAGAGATTATGGTTAAAATCAACTTTCGATTGATGAACAGTATTGGAGGCTGTCAGATGTTTTGAAAGTAAGGAAAAATGCCGAAAGATTTCGCAGAATATACTTTTTGGAGACAAATCATTGATATTAGGCCGTAGTCATAAAGAACTTTACCTGATGATTTCAAAAATAAAGCAATTCCACAGTTTTTTGTTTTTAATAAAAGTTGGTGAATGTATTTATCTTACTGTAAATAACAAGTGAAAAAATGTTCAGCCTTATCAGTTGGACATTCCAGTTTTTATACTGCTTTTTTTTAATTCACTAACGCTCTAAAAATGAATATTTCAGCCGCAGTAAAGAATCAACGTTGGCGGATTTTGGTTCTAGACATCCTTTACGATCGGTTACGATGCCTAGAGTACGGAGACCTGTACGATTTCGTCAACAGTGAGTTTGATAGGGGCCCTCTAGTGGGACTTCGGGAAGCTGGACTTTCTTTTCGGGCAATTGCAGTTAGAGTGCAAAGAAGTGTAGACACTGTGGTTAGGTGTTGTCAGGCATGGCTTCGAGAAGGCCGTACGCAAAGAGCAAGGGGCACTGGACGCCGCCGTAGAACAACAGACCGTGAAGATCGCCGCCTAAGATTATTGGCCTTAAGGGACCGTTTCTCCACTATCAGGTCCATTGCAAATGAATGGTTTGCAGAACACGGAAGACCTATTGGCATGCGAAGTGTTTACCGACGAATGAGAAGTTTTGGCTTGTTTTCATACCGGCCACACTGGGTCCCCCCTTTAACTCGAGAACACCGACGTAATCGCCTCGAGTGGTGCAGACAATAGTCACTCTGGGATCAGGAATGGAACAGTATTGTCTTTAGTGACGAGTCTCGATTTTGTTTAGGCATGCACTATTTCGAAGTGATCATTTTATCTTATTACATATCGAAATAAAACGATCAGAATCATAGGTATCACTTAAAATGACACGAATATTTTCCATTGTAGCAAAATGCATCATCAACACGAGGAGAGCTAACCTAGTCTAAACACGTTCAGAACTGATAAGCCAGACGCGTTGCAGCTCACGTGTATGTGGCGCCTACTTAAAATAAAATGAACCATATCCACAGTATTTGCTCAGCATATTAACAAGTCAACATTTATGGTAATAATCCTGAACGACAACATTTTTATTCACGATAGGTTGTAACTTGTTTTTTGTGTACAGAATACACAGTTGAAAAGATAAGTGCTTAGCTGCTAGTCTGTTATTTACTGGATAGAACGTTTTACGAATCTTTTATCAATTGTGCCATATTCATTCAGCATTTATATGTAAACGGACAGATTAGGATTAGAGTAACAAGGTCGGCCAATTAATATTTATTCGAATTCGAAATGTCGAATGTTTCCAAACTCGATTTCAATTATCCGATTAGCATAGGGTGTCGGCTAAGCTTTAGAGGGTGATTGCATGATATAGGTTGGCAAACATTTTCTGAAAATCTGTTTTTCGTTTATTAACAGATTTTGTTAAAGTTTGTTGTTCCGAAGAAACAAAAAAGAGATCATACTTGATTCATATATTTTTCATTTTTAATACGGAACGGTGAAAACACTATCGATCATCAAGTGACATCATACAAATTGTAAACAAAGAAACGAGACGTTGTGATGCTGTCAGCTGCTGTTTACAAATGGCATGACGTCACAACACATTAATGTGGGCCAAAAATGGCGGTTTTTGCCTGCCTAAAAAGTTTAATTCTAAATTAGTTTTAGTTTTTTAGGTGTGGAAAAAATATAGTACGAATTATTTTGGTCTAATAGAAGAAATATTAACTATTTAAAGCTTAGTTACAAAGTGTTGATTTTTCTGTTCTTCATGTGTTTAATTAGACTACAGTTTCCTGCACTTCATAACCTAACAATAGGAGAGCGCTGACACTGACACGGAACAGTAGAATTCTAGAAATACCGCAGCCTTTCTGAAGGAGAGAAAGGACTATGGAAATCAAGATGGCCACGAACATTCATAGCTTACTTAATGATAATCTTTTGTCTGTTCCAACCATACCTCATAAAATTATAATTGATCGATTACTCGTTACGTTTTTTTCGGAAAGGTTGATTTTGAATGTAAGTTTGAAGACCCTTCATTCGAAAAACAGACTAGTATATGAAATTTGGGGCGAAAATCATGCACTTACATTATAAACCTCAAACTAAGGTCAGTAACCATCTCGAAAAGCACCGCGTAATGCTTAAGACAATTATTTCTTCCACACACACACACACAGTGTCACTGGAAGCAGGAAAAAACTAATAAATAATACGCTCGTTGCTGGTATGTCTACTCGTAAATAATGTTTGAGAATCAAAAACTTTGTCACGTAGACTTTTATACCCCTGTTCTCGGTATTCTTACACCTACAGGCTTTATAACGCGAATAGAGAAACTCGTAAAATATCAAAGTTTATGGCCTCTAGCTAGGCTATCAGAGTTATGAATGGACGGTGGGGAATAATTGAATTAGATACAGCCCCTGCTGATATTGAATGAAATAGCCCCGAATTAAGCTCATTTTGAGAATAAAGGTCAATATTTTTTTTCTGTAATGTTAGAAAAAGACGTGGCAACACTGGCGAATTTGTAGGTGGCAGTTGTCTATTTTGTTTACAAACTTCAAACAGCAGTTGTCATTCTGGCTGTCAAATGCCAGGCGTACGATCCAAACGCGACACCCTGTATTTTATCCTATTCTTTGACTAATCATCGTCAAACGTTTTTTGTACGATTATTTCGTTTGCTGACAAGGGCGTTCGACGATTGTTCTGTATTTTTGCGGGAGGAATGAAAAAATGAAATCTACGATTTGCGTTGATCAAGCAGAACTTGGGTATGGTTCTATTCATCGTAGGTACAGGCGTCGAGTCGTCCAGATTCGAGGTTGTCGACTTCAGGGATAATTCCCTGGAGACTTCGTTACTAAGTATTAGAGAGAAATGTAGAAAATTAACGTCCTTTTTGCAGCTAGGATCTTGTTTAGAATACCTTCCAAAATAGCAGTATTATATTATCCGAAAAAGTTGATATCTGTTATCCAGGACAGTGATTTACGAATATTTTTATCGATCTGCAAACTACAGCCTAGAAAACATGATAAAAACAGGCGCCAGCGTAAAAATGTTGATCACTGATAAACGATAGATTATCGAATTTTTCGTTAATCTGTCTGTAGCATCTCTGATAAGGCTAAATCCGGATTATATGACAATAGGTTATATAAATAACAGTTAAGCACTGTTTGGTTATTAAAGAAACAACGGCGGATTTAGAAATAGTCACAGAAGTAAAACTAAAAGTCTTCGCTTTAATATGACGTTTTGAAGATCATAAGATTGTTACAACAGTTTTTGACTTTTTTTCCTAGTAGATAATAAAAATTCATTGAAAACATCGAGCCCAGTAATATAAAACAAAAGCAATTTCTATCCGGGTTCCTGCAATTTTACCATTTATAAAGGAATATGTAGTACTTCATACGCACACTTTGGAAAATACTGTTAAAACGAATAAATACAAAAGCTCCCAATATCGCATCAGACAAATCCACAAGAAGCTCCGTACAGACTCCACAAGCAGCAGTCATACCAGTTTCAGAATATCCCTCGACAAAAAGTAAAACAAGATAATTACCGGTCGATTGCACTGCACAGAATCCAGTTTTTCAACGAAATTAAATCCACACAGGCACTTCGCACCAATTTTCACACCGAAAAATCGGGACAATCGTCGAATCCAAATCGCGGATATAACGGACACTAGCGGAAGAGTGACCTTGAATTAAATCAACCCTTTAAAAATTTGCGTCCGTTGATCAAGTGCCGGTCGCGAGATGCGTTTCGTCGCTCGGCACTCGGTCGCTACGGCAACGCCAATCGTCGGACGTCTCGCGGCGGACGGCGAGCGAGTGAGCGGCGGCGACGGACGCGAAAACGGGATCGCCAGTTGCGAGGAAAAAGTTTAATGCGACGCGACGTTGCCAGATTGTACAAAAAAGTATCAGATATTAAGAAAACTTATCGCTATCAGTATAGTAGTTGTTGTACATCCCGGCACATTTAGCCGATATAACCCTGTACATGAACATCCACACCACCCTGTACACTCCATCCAAAGTGACGCCACAGCGTGTGCGCATGTGAGAACACACATTCTGGTCCTACGATTTCGTTGCATCTCGCCCGGCTACCCCATTGGTGAAATAGTGGGAATGAAAAAATCTCACGCTTGAACCAGTCCAAATCCAATAAACGGTGTTTCAACAAAATAAAGTGTTAAACAAACAGTAACAGTAGTTAACAGAAAAATTTCACGACATGTTATGGTGTTTTTATTACAAGCTTTTACTTAACTTGATCTGTTTGTATGTTGAAAAAATAGTATCTTTATATGAATGTGTGTACGGAACAAATCTTGAAACTGAATCTTAACCGAGCTGAAATTTTGTATTTAGTTCACGTCACAATAAACATTCGGATGCTACAAAATAGCGATTCGTCTTTTCCATAGTAACCTGTGTGATACGGGTATCAAAAGAAAGGGTCTAACGAGAGAAACACAATAAGCAACGTGGCGTTATTCGAAATCCAATATGACGACCGCCGCAAAATGACGTTGTACATTTTTCCTAGTCACTTCTATGACGTGGGTATCAAATAAAAGGACTTGACGAGACAAACGTAATAAACAAACTGAAGTCGTTGGCGTATACAATCATCATAGTCACCCCTGATATAGGTATCAAGTTAAAGGGCTTTATGGGACAAACATAACAAGGCAACGCATTCTAAATTCAATATGGCGGCCGCCACAAAATATTTATATATCATTATATGATTTATATCTACGGAAATTTCATAATATAGATAAAGTTTAATGAAGTCCTATTGATCAAATGTATAAAAATTATCATTAAAGGTAAAAAACAAATAAAATGATAAAATAGATCTTTAGAAGCAACCTGTTCAGGGAATGAATTACAATTTAAAAACTACTATTATAGATCGTGAATATTCAAACCATAATTAAGGTGTAACATGCTTTTATTTGAAAACTTGATATGATGGGCTTTATTATAAATTTTTAGTTCATTTTTTGGTCTGTTAAATAGAAGCTTGTTTTTAAAAATATATACTTTTCTTTTATTTATCACCCGATTGCCATAGAACGAGGGAATATTTTTTGCGCGGATTTATGTGGATGGACTAAAAATTCTATTCACGGGCCAAACGACTTGATGTATACTAAGTGACATATAAATCCGAACGCCCAGTTTAAATGGTTTTATTTTAATAAAATTTTGTATAAGTACTTAATGAAGCATAATAAGTAAATCATAAAAATTTCAAAATGATTCCACTGCTTTAAAGCCCCTTGACCTTTAATAACGTGTGGATGCACCGTGATGTGCTACGCATTCTCCTACGCGCCTAGACATGCTTCTGATCAGGTGGTCAATGTCCTCCTGTGGTATCTCATTCCAGGCAACCACCAACTCCTCTCGAAGTGCTTCTAGAGTCTGAGGAGGACGTTGTAAATTGAGCAATCTCCTACCCATCATATCCCACACGTGCTCAATTGGGGATAAGTCGGGAGATCTTGGTGGCCATGGTAACAATGTGACATCATTATGTTGAGAGAAGTCTATTGTGACTCTTGCAACATGTGGTCGGGCATTATCTTGTTGGAAAGTTGGATGTGCCAGGGTGTCAAGCTAGGGTAAAAGATGGGGTTCTAGAACTTCGTGGATATAACGCTGCGCGTTCATGTTACCTCTGATCAAGATTAAAGGTGACCTGGAACCATAAGCTATAGCACCCCAAACCATAGCTCCAACAGTGTGATGACGACCATCGTGCATGTCTAAACAAAATCGAGACTCGTCACTGTTCCATTCCTGATCCCAGAGTGACCGTTGTCTGCACCACTCAAGGCGATTACATCGGTGTTCTCGAGTTAAAGGGAGGACCCAGTGTGGCCGGTATGAAAACAAGCCAAAGCTTCTCATTCGTCGGTAAACACTTCGCATGCCAATAGGTCTTCCGTGTTCTGCAAACCATTCATTTGCAATGGACCTGGTATTGGAGAAACGGTCCCTTAAAGCCAATAATCTTAGGCGGCGATCTTCACGGTCTGTTGTTCTACGGCGGCGTCCAGTGCCCCTTGCTCTTTGCGTACGGCCTTCTCGAAGCCATGCCTGACAACACCTAACCACAGTGTCTACACTTCTTTGCCCGACCACATGTTGCAAGAGTCACAATAGACTTCTTTCAACATAATGATGTCACAGTGTTACCATGGCCACCAAGATCTCCCGACTTATCCCCAATTGAGCACGTGTGGGATATGATGGGTAGGAGATTGCTCAATTTGCAACGTCCTCCTCAGACTCTAGAAGCACTTCGAGAGGAGTTGGTGGTTGCCTGGAATGAGATACCACAGGAGGACATTGACCACCTGATCAGAAGCATGCCTAGGCGCGTTGGAGAATGCGTAGCACATCAGGGTGTATCCACACATTATTAAAGGTCAAAGGGCTTTAAAGCAGTGCAATCATTTTGAAATTTTTATCATTTACTTATTATGCTTCATCAAGTACTTATACAAAATTTTATTAAAATAAAACCATTTAAACTGGGTGTTCGGATTTATATGTCACTTAGTATATTTTTACATATGAGGTGTCGTTGGATTCGTTTCAGTGCGGGTGATACTGGGTAATTTAAAAGTATTTTCAAAATGCTGGTATCAGTATGCTAATTTCAGTACAAGAGTTGATATAGCTGTACTGGTACAAAAGCGTAATTTTCTCAAAAAAAAAATGCTTCTTTTATCGATATTAAACAAGTGTAGAATTTATCTTTTTTAGCTTGAAGATAATACTTTTTAAAAATGTTAATCTCAATATATTATACTGGGTGTAAGAAATAGCAATAATGTGTTATGGCTAGTTCGTACCTGGGGATCTATGTTGGATAATTGTTTTCTAAGGGCATCTCCAATGGCGATTTCCACTTATACTTTCGCTAGATGGTGTTTGTGCGGTTGAAAGTCAGACTGTTAAAAGAAGGCGCGAAAAAGATTTTATACAAAGCTAACTGATCTTTCACAACCCTGTCACGTCTTGACATTTGCGGATGTGAGCAGCTATTCAGCAATTTACATTCTTTGTCTGTTTATAACCTTTGACATGACCTTGTCGGTCCTGAACAAGCCCTAGGGATGCCCGCGCAAAGAGTCGGCAGGATAATGGACAAGTATTGCTCTCTGAAATGGAGAAGCAGCTCGTCGTAAGGCCCAGCGCTAAGGATTGACCCTCTTGCTTATCTTTGGATAGAGCCAACCTGACGTTGTTGGTGGGATTGTTGACTGGCCATAACATGATGAGGCATGTGATGGGGGTGGCTGAGGATCCCATCCAGCTACTGCAGGCGAACTATACTAGTATCCCCAGAATGTTAAGGAACTGGCCCTACACTTTACAAGAAGGGCGGAGCTTGAGGCTTAAAGAGTGTATGCCTCTAATTTCTTCATTCGTTCATTCATGACCTCCAACCTAACTAGCGCCATCTACTTCCAGACTTCCCATTAGATACTATGTTGTAAAAATTTCGCTTACTCATATTGTCGTTCCCGCTTTTAAGATGGCATTTTGTACATCATATCGATAACGACTTTGTTCGTCGTGAAAGACCCTGTACGGTATGCGTAATCGCATTTTTCACAGAAATCTGTGTTAATTAGCAACGTCTGCACATCTGCGGCGTTTTCATCTTTTAATCGACCTCTTGCGCAAACGAACTGAGAGACATGAGGCAAGAAACCTGCAGACATCGTCCACTTGACGTGTACAACATAATTTTCGCGGACAGAAACAAATTAGCGAACGGTCAGAACGAAATCGACTGACGTATTGTTATTGATCGGTCCGAAGATGAAGTATGATAAACTGAACCGAATATTTCAAACTTGTCGTCCATTTGATTGGACTGATTGCCGTTTCCATCATCCGACTGACCTGGATTTGATTACCAGGATCTATTGAGAAAACATTCATTTTATATCATAACACTGTTCGTAAAAATTACTGATATCTAGCTACGAATACTGGGTTACAACGTTTTTCTGATTTAGAATAATAATTGTATAACAATTTTTAAAAATATTGAATTTTATTTTTATCGCAAAACACTGCTCTAGCTCTAATGGTTCTGTGGTGGAGGAGCGGAAGTCTACTCTCCATCTCTTTGAAGGTCCTTGCCGGGTCGTGGTTAATGTTTCTGTTCGACAATCGAGAGTATGATCAACGGGAATTGTTTCCTTACAGAATTGTCGTTGTACGGGAAAAAATAATTGTTTTTGTAATTTCCGTAATACGAGAGCTGAATGTGACTTGGTGCAATTTCCGGTGCTCTCGTGTAGCTGTTCAGCGGCCATCACCTGCGTTAGTGAATAAATTTCACACCCAGTGCTGGGATTGTTGGGCGATTTTTGTTTTAATTTTAGGTTTTGCTGGAGACCAGTTAGATGGGGGGTAGTACGAACTAATTTCCTTTTGTTTGTCTCCTAGTACTTCTTTTAAAATTTCTTTTGTTCGATAAATGTTAGTGTGCCTTGCGAATTTGTATTTCATTCGGCTCCAGAGACCCGCCATTTGGCAGCTACTTTAAGTTTTGATAGGCCGAAAGGCCCTACTAGTTATTTCTTTTTCTAGTTGTTGGAATTATCTACCAACTGAGCAGATGCTTAGTTATATTTTTCCCAAATTATAACTAGAATAATAGACATAATATACTAAGTGACATATAAATCCGAACACCCAGTTTAAATGGTTTTATTTTAGTAAAAGTTGGTGAATGTATTTATCTTACTGTAAATAATAAGTGAAAAAATTTTCAGCCT